CGGTTGAAAAGGAGCAGACAGAACAGAACGTCTATGTTAAAGCGTCATTGACGATTTATGCAACAACTGTTTGCACTTGCAGTCTTGAAGTTTGAAAGGTAACATCCTTAGCCAACAGTTTTGTATATGTTAGAGATTCAATGCTCTTTCAGACGGCATGAAAAGCGGCGTAATATTAGAAAAACATAGAAGCTTTTGAGAGTTGGCTGAGGTGAGGTAGGCAAACATCCCGCTAATGAAATCGTTCTGCTAACCTCGACCTTTATGTAAACTTCCACATTCCAAAGAAAACTTCCAAAGATCAAATATTCCAGAGCTGCTTATAATTCAAGATGACAGGTATTCATTAAAAAAGAGTTCTCTCTCAAGCACTCAGCAGTGATTTCTGATCCAGAGATATGGAAGGTAAGAGAATACGCCATCAGCTGAACACCAAGCATTGCTCATCATTTTTGATTGTTTGTGAGAGATGGAAGTACCTTATCACATCAATAAGTGGCAAATATTATCTGGCCACTTCCTTCCGTTGCAAACCCTCTCCAGAGCTGTGGAGTATTCTATGAAGATGCATATCACATCATAGCGTGCTGTCCATACATAAAAATTCTGTTTCAAACAGTCGATCTGTGACACACGAAATGGCCTTGTACAACGCGCCACTTAAAACCATCATAGTGTACGCAGGTTTGTCGTACTACACAAAAGGGTTTTTCAGATTGCATAAGTTAGAGGCGCCGTAGTGTACATGCAAAAGTACGGCGTCCATTAAGTTTTTACGGGTCACCCCTCAGACGCTAGGTTACAGCGACTTACGTCGCGCACGGAAGGGGAAACAACCCGTAACTTCAGCTTCCGTGCGGAAGAAGAACCGTACGAACCTGGACTGGGCAATCTGGAATAGGATATTTATTCACAGAGTACATTCCGAAGGCCTTTTTCACAAAAAAGCGGTACGGGAAGGTATTCGACTGCTTCACCGATCCCGAACGAAGGCGCTGATGTGGAGGTGCTGCAGTTCAAAACCAGTCGCAGTTACTTCAATGTGCGACCATGTTTTGTTTGCATGCCTAATGAAACACTACTAGCAATCAGCGCAACTCAGAGCGTTTGCTACAATATTACAGGTTGAACCACGGAAACAGCTCACAAAAGTCAACCAGGTTAAAGAGACAAGAATCCCGCTTCTCCAGACCTTGTATAAATGCTTAACCATTTCGGTGGTGATAAATAAGAACGCTGCTTGGCTTCCAGAGCACTCTGGGCTCAAGACGATGGCGGACTGCGAAGACGTACAATCGTCATGCACGTACAGCTGTACAACTTGGACGTGTTTCATGACCTTTGTAGTGGAGATAAGAATTACGGTTCGCTATTCCGGCCCACTCTCGTTTGCGTTAATACTTACTTACCAGGGAACATTTTCCGCCTCCAAATTCAAAAAATTCTCAGGTTTTGTAAAATGGTAGTGTATTATTGTAGTAAAAAATATTCTTAGCTGCCATCGTCAAGGGGGCGTGGCCAGACAACAATTAAAAGTTTGCATGCTGTCACAATGTGTAATACAGTGCAGTGCAAGTTATTCGTAATTAACTTTCGATAACAAATTTTGCGGAGTTTTTTAAACACCAGGAAGAGGAAAGATATTGTTAGTCAGCGAATTCCTTTTAAACTGTACCGCGTGTACAGTATTCGGACAAGTTACGATTTCACAATCAGCTATCCCAGGATAAGTTACTCATAATGGTTATTTTTTATACGTGTGTACTATATATGTACGGGCGACGTCGAAATCGGAAAATTGAAACGAAGAAGGTAATCATGGCGGCAAAGGCAAAGGTAAAGGTACAGTAGAAAAGGGCAAACTGAAAAGGCAAAGTTGAACAAGGCAAAGTGGAAAGGCAAAGGCAAAGGGCGGGCAAAGGTAAAGTAGGCCGACCCGCTTTCGCATTTCAAAATCCCTGTAAGCGATTGACCACCCAATTAACCGTTACGGTGGAGGCCATGCACATCACGGATTTCTGTCAGTTGCACCAGCAAAAATCAAGGCAGCCCGATAGACTTACATGCAGTGTCTTTCAATAAGGAGAAAAATGTGGCCAGCGTGCCCAGCGAGATTACCAACGAGATGTGTAATATACCAAAGATGATAATGCATTTCTGACCACCAGACAACGGTCTGCAGTCAACACGCTGCCAACACGGGCAACGAAATACAGGACATCGTCGACGGCTACCTTCCGCTGGCGAAATGACATCATTTCCAACGTGCTGCTGCTCTTCCTGGACGTCGGGTATCTTTAGCTGCTATCTGGTTTTCCCTAGCACGACGTCCAAGAAGCCACATCGGTACTGGGTGGCCAGCTTACACAGCAGCGATGCTGGACCTGGAGGAGACGCTTCCCAATCGTCGTTGACAGCGATCTGGAAGGCCGCCACACGCGGAGTGATTAGCCTATTTCAGATTGCACGTTTTGTGTTAGTTTCGGCTCCGGTTCCATGTGGAACCTTCGGTTCCGGGTTGTTTTACGTCCGTTCGCGACGTTAGCAGCTGTAACCTAGCGTCGTGCGGTGACGCGTAAAATCTATCTGCCTTACGCGGATGCTTGCAACGGCTTAGACACATGAGTGAATGGCAGGCCAGCGTATGCTGCCCGTGGATCTTTTTTGAGCACTCAGACCGCCGACCGTTAGCAGGGTGGTCACGTCCTCGCGCGCACTCGACTCGATTTATTTTTTCGTTGCTGTACGTGACCAAAGTGCAACCGCACAAAGATCTGAAGCAGTTTTCATCCTGCCAACGTACTGCTTATCTGACGCCGTGCGATTCTATGTACGGAGCCTCTACCGTATGCAATCTGAAATAGGCTATTGCCTGAGTGGGCGCGTTCGCACTTGGCTCCATGGCTGCGATAGAGCAGAATGTGACAATTTTTACTTAATTCGAGATACCCCTCTGAAAAGCCCCGGTAAAGTAATTTTAGTCTCTCGGTAGACATGCACTGGACTATTTTACAAAATTGGATTCAGTTGAGCTTGACTGTATGATGAAATTTCTTGCAAGTTCGCATCATGTGCGAGCTCTTGTTTTGTCGTCACACGTAGTTGACAAACTAGTTCACCGTGAATCGCTGCGGGCGCGTTGCTTTTTTTCGCACCATACTGTATACCGTAAAAATGTATAAGCTCTTCTCTCAGATGGTAAACACTTTAAGCGCGCAACGGAGAGGCGGCGTAAAATAGCGTATACAGCAGACTGCAAAAACCTGTTACATTCGGCCCGTGACCAAATGACCAATCAAAATAAATGCACTAGACCAACAAACTGTATTGCGCAATTCCCAACGAAAACCATCAACCGATATCTCAAACGAATGAGAAAAAGATTTCAAGAATTTCCATACCAAATAGGTCACCTTTTGTGAAATCTAAGAGAAAATCCGGCGATTTTAGTGTGTTGCAGCAATGCATGGGATTTCTGTGTTTAAACCGAAACCAAGCCGTGGATGCAAATCTTATTTTACTGGGTCGAGGAAATAGGTATGAAGTAGAAGTTGACGTAGGAAATGGATCGAACCGAATGAACGGTGGCTAATGGTACTATTTTATATCGAACTCTGTTTCTCACCTGTTTTCGCCGACTCACTGCTATGTGTACGAAAAACTTTAGAAGCGTCACTATTCTAGTAAATCGCATAAAGAACAGCTTGTTTGGTATCAGAATTCTTGAAATTTTTTCCTCATTCGTTCGAGATATCGGCCGACGGTTTTCGTTGGGAAATGCGCAAGTGTAAGTGTTAATACCAGCAGACCGATGGCCAGTCACGAATTTGCCTCTTTGAGTACAGATAAGTGCCTGCCTGCGCGTTTTTTTGTAGTGACAGAAGTGTAACACCTTTTCGCAGTTTACTGTAAGTTGGACTGCAGTGTAATACCTACAGTAGGGGATGACGTGTGCACATTGCCGCATAAAACCGTCGTACTGCGCGCATGTTCTATTGTATCACACGAAATAAACCACTAAGTACTTTCTGATGGCCATATACACGAAAAACGATAACAACACAGTAGTGAACACACGGCAATAAAAAGGTCTCGTTGATGAATAGCATCCGTCGGAAATTTTTATTTGCATTATTTTCAGCGAAGCGAGTTCCGTGTCGGATTTCTCATGTTTCTTCAGCAAATCGCTTCCATGATACCAGGATAGCGGCACTAATACTGTGGCACAAGCTTAAAAACAGGCAGGGCAGCCTCGCGGTAATTGATGACTCAACACAGTGACTAATCGCTGGTTGTTGAAACTTTCCAGCCCCACGTTTTATGCTTTTTGTGCGGATCTGCAGCACAGCTGCGCTGGTTGAAGAATCAGTTCGATTCTGCCGGTTAGATAGTGGTTTGGTAGCAACAGCGCCAATTGTTTCGAGTATACATGCAATTAACGGTCAACGACGTATTAAATGTCGGCTGGCATACGATTGAATTTATTGGTTTACTAAGAAAATGCATCGATTGGTGCATTGGCAATTTAGCACAAATGCGGTGCCAGTAAATCTCTCATCTTATGAAAAATTCCCGGACCACTGGGCATTATTTATTACAAGGCTTTCCAATAGTTTTTCTATTTTTATCTTCCTTGACCAGCGCATACAGGCCCTTACAGGCTCGTGTTACTAATACGGCAGAAAATCGATGACAAGCATTTTCGTTGAAACCGAAACGTTCCATTTTGGGGGAGTCGAAGCTATTTACTGCAAACAATTTCGCTGTTTTTAACGGCACCAAAACCATCTAACCGAACAGAGTATTTTTCATAGCAGCCGGAAAGAAGACATTTAGCGTCTCGTAATTGGTTCCTTAGAGCGGTGTACTCCATATTCACCGGTGCCGTAAAAAGGCCTACTATGAGCCTGCGAGGTATTTTTTTTCCTTTTTGTTGCCGCTAGACAAACTTGCACCACTGTCAGGTCCCATCGCTGGCTGCTGCTTGCTGGCCTCCGCACGCATTGTTAGAACGTCGAGTAATGCGGAACTTTTGGCTGTACACCGGACTCTGTTGCACGTTCGCCCACTGGCTGCGTTATGCATCTGTCGACAAGCTTGCGTCTACAACTTCTCGTATCTAAAATCGGTGAGCTCTACAATATATACGAGTGGATGTTAGTAGCGCATGCCAGCCTTCCCTGTACTTGATGCCATCAGCCGGCGGAAGTATCAAGTTGTGGCTATACATGGTGTTTATGTACCTCGCCTGATTTAGTCATATGTACTGCCGCAACGTCATACACCTGCCGGCTGACGGCAGAAACTGCAGCGCAACTGACATCACGTATGGGTACAGTACGACAGTTTTATGCGGCAAAGTGTTCGCTGCATCTGGTATAACATAGTACTGTGACCATAGCGTTTCCATCCACAAGATACGATATTTCACGTGGTTGCTATTTACTGCTTGCTCAAAGTGTTCGACGGCTTCTGAAACGAGCTTGTACAAAGTAGTACAGTGTTTGCTACGTGGTGTAAAAAAAATGCAATTTGCCCGCAGCCATCCACGGCCCGCGATGAGCTAGTCTGACTACTACGTGTAATGGCGAAACACGAGCTCGCACAGCATACCATGCAATTGATGCAAACCGTCAACAAATTTCATGATACAGCCAAGCGCAACTGATTCACGTTTGTGAAATAGTCAAGTGCATGATTACCGAGAGCTATAACTTTTTTGATTTTTTCTAGGCTTGTCAAAGCGGTATCGCAATTTAAATAATAATATTAAAATTGTAACCTTCCGCTCTATTGCTGCCATGGAGTCAACTGCTAACGCGCCGTCCTCGGCAGTCGCTCCGCGTGTGGCACCCTTCCAGATCGCTGTCAATGGCGACAGCGAAGCACATTCTATAGGTCGAGCATGGCGGCTGTGTAAGATAGCGAAGCAGTACGGAAACGGTGTCTTGGACGTCGTGCACGGCAGAACCAGAGAGCTGCTCAAGAAGCCCGACGTCAACGAAACTCTGCGCTACGTTGGCAATGATGTCATTCTGCCAGTGAAAGGCTGCCGTCGACGATGTCCTGCATTTCCTGGTCGGTATTGGAAGAGTTTTTCCTGTAGACCGTTGTCAGATGATGCTAAAATCTGTCGTGACCGTGCTATATTCATCGCACCATACATCGGGTGGATGATCCTTCACGCCGCGTTGGCCACTTGGATTTTCCTCATGATAACAACTGCCTGTGAGTCTCTCGGTGTGCCGGAACCTTTTGTAAGCTAACTGGCTAAGTCTAAGAGGACATGCGTCGGCCTACTTTACCTTTGCCCGCCCTTTGCCTTTATCTTTCCACTTTGCCTTTTTCAACTTTGCCTTTGCCCGCCCTTTACCTTTGCCTTTTCAGTTGCCCTTTTCTACTTTACCTTTACCTTCGCCTTTGCCGCCATGATTACCTTCCCCCTGGCAGTTTTGCGATTTCGAGGTCGCGCGTACATATAAGGGGCAAAACTAAGCGTCTTCCACCGTTCCCCTGTTCTGCTGCCGTCATCCGTCTGGAGTGTGAATTATGGCAATACATACGGCTAAATCTGGCGCGGTACGTGAGCGCCATGTTCAACCACAACGTCAAACTCCAGGCGGGTGACGGCAGCAATACAGGGGAACGGTGGAAGATGCCTAGTTTTGCCCCCCCATATATACAAACGCACAAAAAATAAACCATTACAAGTATTCCTGGGATCGCTGATTGTGAAATCGTAACTTGTGCGAATACTGTACACGCTGTATAGCATAAAAAGAACTCGCTGACTAACAATGTATTTCCTCTTCCTGGTGTTTTAGAAACTCCGTAAAATTTGTTATCGAAAGTTAAAATAAAATCAAAGTAATAAATCAGTTACAGTACCCGTATCGGTGCAACGCATCCTACAAGGCAACTATGCCGCCTATTTCTGCTGTCGGCTGGGGCCGTATAATCTGTGAATGGTTTACTTTTCTAGCAGATTTATGATTTTCTTGCCCTCAATCTGGATTAACTTTATCCAGACTGGCGGCACAAAAATGCATGCTTAATTTCAACGCATCAGTTATCATAAAAATGTCTCATTTTTGAAACGGCTGATGGCGACGATTATTTATTTTTAAAGGATTAATTAAAGAGATACACCTTTGAAAATGTTTTTAATGATAATTTTCTGACGGTGAAGGTAATCACGGCGGCAAAGGCAAAGGTAAAGGTAAAGTAGAAAAGGGCAAATCGAAAAGGCAAAGGTAAAAGGCGGGCAAAGGCGAAGTTGATAAAGGCAAAGTGAAAAGGCAAAGGGCGGCAAAGGTAAAGTAGGCCGACCCGAGGACATGGAGCAGTCTCTCTCTGTTTATACTAAAAACGTTGTTCTGAAGGTTATCAATGCCATAGTTCAGTCAAAGCTTTCCACCGGCTGTATAATATTTAGCCTTATACTGTTTTCTAATTGTTTGGATGATGATTAAGGTCACGAAGACGGAAGCGGAAGTCTGAGCTTTAACAACGCAACCGTTGCAATCCCCAAAGAATATTTCTCCGTAGAGCAGTGGATCGGGGCTGCTAACAACGATTCGGCAAGATACGACTGGAACGCTGTATCTGTTAACGACACCAAGGACACTGCCTTGCGGAAGTTGTGCTTTACGATTCACTGCGGGCTTGATTTAGGTTCAGTTCCAAATTGTTTTTGCTGCTCACTTACAGTATGTAAATGTTGATCCTCGCGTCTTTTCAGATTCCGATACGGTTAGATACATATGCACCTGCCCGCGATCAAAGGTTAAAGGATGGTTGTGGGGAACATCAGCATATGCAAACGCCGTTTGGGGTTTATGGATGGTGTTGGCTCAGGTTGTTGGAATGATTGGCATGTTTGGCATGCTTGGCTTCCTCAAGATTTCCTTTTGTAGTAGGCGCTGTGACGGTTGTGTATTAGTTTTGCCTGTGATACTATTTACGTTATTGTATGGTTGTGGTTTGTTAGATTCTCTTGTTAACTTTTTCTATGTAGTAGCGGCTGTCGCTCGTGTAGCGCCTATCTTTTACGGCCTGTTGAGCTAATCCTAGCCGAACATTCCTGCACCCTGCTATCCTCACTCTCTCCGCTCACTTAAACCATGGGGTCCCATAAGCAGCTAACAATAAGAAGTGGCTTCATCGTTCATACCCACAATCGTGCTTATACCAAAACAAATGAATAATTTCATACTTCTTACTGAAAGTCGTAACCAGGTCGTAATGTTACAGTCTGTAACAAATTATAATGCGTTTATTCGTTAACAAAGGTCATACTAGCGGTAAAAATGCTGCTGTACGCAAAGAGGGCAATAATGTTATTTAAGCTCGGTCAAAAATAAAACCGAGCAATTAGGACTGGCTCACCACAGCGCTGATTGGATGCGTGCCGGAATAATGCGGACACTTCTGATGATTAAATTTAATTAAATTTGTGATGTGGGGGTTAATTAATTAATGGCTACAGCTATTTTGCCGCAGTAAGAGCAATACGTATGTGGCACTATTTATGCGCTGGCTGTTTTGCCAGAGATTGCGGCTCACTAGCCATAGGTGTGCCGCAGTGCGAGCACCAAGTTGCGTGCTTACCTATTTTACACAAAAAAGTCTAACTGGCCGCATATAATGCGGCAAAATAGCAAAAGTCTATTTTGACGCAACAGCTGCGGTAAAGTAGTCACTCTGATAATTTGGGAATGCGTTCGTTAAGGTATAATAAATAATGAGCCTCGCAACAGTGTGCATTTGACCTTTCTGGTATCCTGATACCTCAGCAATACCACCCAGCGTAGAATTGTGCTTTGGCATCGTGGGCCTCTTAACAGCAATCCTCTGTGAACCCCTTCCGGGTGGAGCGCCGTCGCTTGACAAATTGCTGAATGTAAACTGTAAGCGAAGTTCAATAACAGACGCTGTGCAAACTGGGAGAAGAAAGTCAAACAGGGGACATCCTGTTCGAAATTCCCGGAGCACCGAAAATATTACGTAAATACCGATCTCATAACAGGAAACGACTTGGGTGCTGTCAGCGGAGTCAACTGATGCAATCTGCTTCTGCTGTGCGTCAAAAACTATTGAGGGCTACTCAGTGTGAGTCCCGGCGGAGGCAGACGACTGTTCACTTCTGTCGTGGCGCACCTCAAGCACTTATCCTGCAAAAGTCCCATCAGCTATTGACTAATTTCAGTCAACACACCCTTATTCACACTAATGCAGCCGCCATATCACTACTTACAATTGCTGGATTTGACCAGAGGAGCAATTAAGTACCCTGATCTAAATCTATCTTCCTTAGAATAAATTTACTGCATTCAATAAAAATTTGCATATTAACGAGAATCAACCAGCAACGCTCTCTAATACACGGAGTCGAAACCGTTGCTAACAGTAATCAGGCTACCTTAATTGAGGTTTGTAATTGCGCTCTCATTCATAACGGTTTTTGGCTTGAAATGCAAGCACGGAATGTTAGCAGTGTCTATCCTCAATCAGTGAACCAGTGAAAAGTTTCTGCTATTGTGTACTGTTTTCTCTACTCGTAGACTTTCTAATTCATTTTCGGATTCTTAATGTTTACTGAAATCTGCAATCGGTGCATCTTCATGCTGATAGCGTGACTACAGCATTACGCTGTATATTACAGCGTTGTACTCCACTTTTGTTTCACCTGCGTGATCGATTTAAAAGCAGACTTCCGCGTAACCGACTTGTTAATGGGGTGGCTACTGCCTATAAACTGAATAACAAAGCTACCCGTCGAGCTGAGATTATCTGTTTCGCTTTTTAACTTCATGGGTACACCCAAGTCAAAAAGTCGTACCGGTTTCGACACTGTTTCAAAGACCTAATTGGTACTTAGAACTTCCAGTTTGCACCTCGTGTAGTTACTAAATTGGCAGTGTTTTTCGTACCGCTTTGGGTACTTGTTCGGCTGTTTTAACGAACAAACGGAGGAACAATACTAGATGTTGTTTGAAACTTTTTGGTACGTTACCGCAGCGCCGCATCGAACATCCTTAACCAGTAAAGCATGAAACAAGGTGAGACAAGGTGAGTGGATTCACGAGAGTGGCATGTCGAATCCGAAGAAAGGACGGCGCAATGTTGAATAGTGCGAAGAAGATCGGTATCATGTTGTGTTCACCAGCGGAAAGTTACACCTCAGCGCCACCAGAAGACGTAAGTTTTTCGGACCATCGTTTGTGCAAAACAGTCGCGTCGTACAAATCTGCAATTCCCGTTCACAAAACCATTACGTTTCGCCTATGGAAGAATACAACCACAGAAGAATTCCACCGAAGAATCAGAGAAGTTTCCGAAAAGTACAGTGATTACGACGAATATGTCCCAGTTGACGATTTTGTCTCAAGTTATATCCAGGAATTAAACAATATTGTCGATCATTGTTTCCCGTTACGAACCCGTCAAAAAGAGCCCCCCTGGATGAGCGTGCCCCTAAAAACATTGATCAAGGGAAAGAATGAAGCTTACCGCCTCAGATGTCAGTTCCGTGACTCGCCAGAATATGAACAGTACGATAAGCAGTTTAAGGCTATGAAGAAAGCCGTGTGTTCGATGATCCTGGATGAAAAGCGAAAATTCTTCGCTCAGAACAGAGGAGAAACCGAAAGAACATGGCGGGAGTTAGCCAGACTGCTTCGTAAATACAAAGAAAAAGAAGAGCCATCAGTGGATCCCAACGTGTTGAATGCGTATTTTGTTGCACAGGGACTGCACGGAAACGACCACCCTGTACCTTGCATGCCCCCCGAGGGCGGTGACACTAACCCATTGCTTTGCAGGTTTACCGATGTATCAGTTGACGTTGTTGCACTTTTGCTGAAAGGGATGGCAAAACAGAAGAAGAGCGCTGGTCCCTGCGGGATGCCTAGCAGAATCCTGGCAGGCGTGAACCAGTATCTTGCTAAACCGCTAACGATCATGATTAACGCATCCCTGAAAGCAGGAGTGTACCCAACGATTTTCAAAAGCGCTGACGTAGTCGCCATCCCGAAGCAGACCAATGCACGACAGCCGGATGATTTCAGACCAATTTCACTGGTGTGCAACATATCGAAAGCTTTCGAGAAAGTTGCACAAAACCAGCTTGTAGCCGTTTTAAAGACCGGGAATGTGCTTTCTGAGAACCAATCCGGATTCTGGGACGGACACTCGTGCGAAACCTTGCTGTTGAAACTGTCCGAAAAGTGGAGGAAAACAATGGATGCTGGGAAAATTACAGCTTTATGCCTAATTGACCTTAAAAAGGCATTCGATTCTGTTTCCCATGCGAAAATGATTGAAAAGTTACACGCGATTGGCATCCGTGGTGGCGCGCTAAAATGGTTTCACAGCTACCTGACTTCCCGAAAACAGCGCGTTAAGATGATCCGGAATGTATCAGACTGGCTGCCAGTGCAATCGGGTGTGCCACAGGGAACACGTCTGGCTCCGGTGCTCTACACGCTGTACACAAGCGACATGCTACCCGGACTCGACGCCGAATGCTTTGCGGATGACACCGTGCTGTATAGTGTCGGCACCACACACGCGGAGGCAGCCTTATCCTGGCATTCAAGTTGATAAGGCGACCACCTGGTTTGCAGCGAACACCCTGTGCGTAAACGAGAAGAAATGTAAACTTATTTACATTTGTCCGCAATCAAGAAAAAAACCAGCCTGCGCCTACAGTGAAGATGAACGGTCACCAGCTGGAAGCGGAAACATGCGTAAAATACCTCGGTATTTACATCGATCAGAATTTGAAGTGGGAGGAACATTTCAGCCATGTACTGCGGAAAGTTAACTACGGCATCGCAATGATAAACGCAGCGAAAGAAGGCCTGGACATGTCACAGCGCAGGAGTCTTTACCATGCCTGTGTGCAACCACATTTCGACTATGGGTCGGATACGTGGTCACCAGCATCTTCGACTCTGCGCGACAAGTTGACCAGAGCCCAACGGAAAGCACTGCAGGCCATTACTGACTACAAGGAGCGGATAACCCCCGAGCTGTATCAGCGATTGCGCATCCTGCCGGTATTTGACCGTTGGAAGCAGTCGGAAGCCGTTTGGTTGTATAAGATCTACAACCATGAAGTGTACAAACTTCCGCCCTACCTGGTTGAACTGATCGACTTCAAGGATCTGTCACCGCAGTACAATCTCAGGAAGCCGAAACGAATCCAAGCCAGAGCGAAAAAGAAAATCGGAGAAAGCACGCTGGCCATGCGGTTAAAGAACGTTTTTGAGCGGATTCAAAAAGTTAATTCGCAGATACTCAGTGTTAGCGGTGTTAGCTTTTTCAAGTTCGCTCTGAAAACTATTGATCTGCCTAAATAATCTCTTCTGTAATTTTTCGCTGCATTTTTTACCAACCAGACATTGAAGTCCTGTTAAACGGGTTGTCTGCTCCTGATACATGAATGAATGAATGAATGAATGAATGAATGAATGAATGAATGAATGAATGAATGAATGAATGAATGAATGAATGAATGAATGAATGAATGAATGAATGAATGAAAATGGAAACAATGAAAGAATAATAATAACATCGAAATATCAAGGGGTAACAGAAAATACAGATACATCCATATACAAATAATACAGTATAGTAAATGGCAAAAACAAAAGGCAAAACAATCGAAAAATTTCTCCACGACCACTCCGCGCCGTTCACCTGAAGATGTAAGATGTGTTACATACTTTTCCGTCATGATGACTCCCTGCCCTCGGGTCCAGATGCGCCAGATACGCTGCAGAATGCAGATGCACTTTAATTTTCAAGAATATTCAGTGTGTGATCATTTAAAATTCTAAACCAAATCTCTGAAATAATGCTACGAACTGAAGATGTAAGGGAACAATATTAATTCTTATACAAATTAATAAATAATAAAATATTTATCTTACAGAAGTTCAACCAGCATAATTTTTTTTGGAAATTTTATATATAATTTTAATAAATAACATAAACAAAAGCTCAAATGAAATATAAGATAAATCAATTCTTTAACACCGAAATTCCAAAAAAATGTTAACTAATTTCCAAATAATTCTAATTAATCTATAATAAATTGTTAATTAATTTCTAATTAATCTCCAATAAATTGATAATTAATTTCCAATTAATCTTCAATAAATGGCAGCTTCAACGGATAGGAAATGAGTGAAAAGAGGGCGGTACCTGGTGACGTATGCGTTGCCGCGGGAAGTGCAGGCGCGGTAGTTGGTGCATAATAAGAAGGCGAACTGCTTGAGGCACTCGACGTCCTTCAGCGTCTCGGCGTTGGCCTTGACCTGCTGCACGGCCTCGTCCCAGATGGCGTTCGGCATGGACATGAGCCGCTCGGTCAGCGAGGCCTGCTGGCTGTCGTCCGCTTCCGAGGAGATCATGTAGCCCACCGCTTCGTAGAACGTTTGCACATCGCATCTGAACGCAGTACAAAATACCGCCAATTATTCACTGAGTCGTCTGAGTAACATTGACTACTGATGTAAAATTATTTTCGCCTCTCAAAGAATTCGTGTGAACTTTGAAACATTTCTATTGGTTAATTCCTATTTTTTACCAATCCTTGAGAAAACAATTCAACATTTTGCCGATTAACTTTTTATTTCTTTCCAAATTATTTGAAAAACTATTACTTGAGAATGTAAATAAATTTACGGATTTATTCTTTATAAAAATTATTTGTAAACCATTTTACGAATTATCTGTACGTGTATTGAATTATTCCAAATGGTTTATTTGATGGGAAATAATTTTGATTTTTTCAGAAATTGCTATGGAATTATTTTAACATTAATGACAAATTTTTTTCTAATGGTTTTCGACTGGTAACTTAGCTGAGTGGCATACCTGTTGGTGGCCAAGATCACAGATAATTGAGCGGAGAATGAGGAGGATCTCGTCGATGAAGGGCATGGACTCGTCCACCTGCACCGTCACGAAGTGGCGCCGGCATTTCTGCGCGGTATTGATGAACGTATCACAGGCCATGTCCTGCACGCCGTCGTGCGTGTCTAATCAACACACAACAACGATCTAGTCGTCTTCATCAAAAGATACACAGCCTGATTCCTCACTGTGCAGTGTGCATAAACTCGAAGAGCTTTTTGATGACGGTGTTCAAGAACTTCCAGTGGGCGCGCAGGAAGCGCGTATACTGGCCGACAATGTTCATGATGTTGGAGGCGATGACGGCCTTGTTGTACATACTTCCATCGCTTCTGCTCGCACAGCCCTAACAGCTCCTAAACATCAACTCGATATATTTATTTGCTAATTAACTGTCATTTATTGCAGAATTAATTTGCATTTAATTATATCAGCATAATTTGTGGGAATTGTGTGCTAACCTTGATTACGGTGACGAGGAAGCGTATCTCGTCCTCCTCGTACATGGCCCCGCTGATGGAGGCGATGCCCAGCGCAGCGTGTTCAGGTTCTTCCACGACCACTCCGAGCCGTTCACCTGCAGATGCAGCTTCTCCGTCATGATCCGTTCCGTGTCCACCGGATCCAGATGCGTCAGGTATACTGCACAATCAAACCAGAATTTACAGCGCTTTAATTTTAATTTAACGACCCATAAAAATACAGCTATAAAATTTAAATCCAATTAAATATCCATAACAACGTTATAGACGGGAATTCACTGTAGAGTCATTTGTCTACAATTATATCAAAATATTCTGTCATATGCGCATTATAGAGCCGTTAAAAGATACATCACACTGCTGATCACAGTACGATATCAATACTGAAAAATTTTTTCCAAAAAATACGAAACTTAATTCCCACAAAAAATAACATTTCTATCTTGCTAATAACTGGAAATTAATTCATGAACAACTTCTTCCGTATACATTAATTTTAACAATAATTATCACGGCATTTTCAGCAAAATACACAAATAAAAATAATAATTCAATTCAGCTAAAAAAATAAAATAAAAATGTACAACAAAATAAATGAGATCAAAATTAAATGGAAAAATTGTTGCTGTACGTACCGAGCGTCTCGCGCAAACGTTTGTACAAATTAATGGAGTCAGTGTCCTTCATGAACTCCCGCACCACCTCGCCCTGCTCGTTCTCCACCACCAGGACTTCCTCCGGCTTGGCCATCCGCGCGATCATAATGCCTCTGACGTCCGAGAGCACCCCGTCGTAGAATTTACGCTGAGTGGGTTGCGCTTAAGATTCCAATCCGCCGCTCTTCATCAACGAGGGCGGGAAGAAGATGGCGCCGTGGGAGGTGGAGTAAGCGTTGAAGGCATGCTCCAGGTACAGCTCGGAGGCCAGGGTGTTCCAGAATTCCAGGCAGATCTTAAAGATCTCAATCTCCTCCACCGGCGAGATGAGCAGCACGTAGCGCAGCGTCTCCAGCAGCTGTGGATGCAGCTGCGGCGTCTTCTCGATCAGTTGGCCGTGCTCCTTGGTGCAGGTGGTCAGGAAGAGCGCCAGATTCTGGATGAACTTCTGCTCGCCGTCCGTTCCTTTGCCGTACGCGGCGCGGATGCCCGTTTCCAGAGGAAGAATCTGCAGAATCCCCAAAAAATTATTGCCACCAATATCACCAGCAAAGCAAAGAAAATAAATTAAAAATGTCTCAAATTAGTCAAATACAAAAAAATTCACCAGCAAGTAATAAGCAAAAATTCGTTTTCAAAAAGTGCAGGCTTAGTACCACAATAGTTTGTTTGCACTAGCAGAATTATTCAAATCAATGAGAGAATTAATAAAAATAATAAATGTCAAAATATGTAAAAAGTGCTAGAATAAGAGCTGAAACCTAGTGAAGTATTGTACAGTATAAAAAAAATCTTCTGACGGCAACTTCATCGTGCCCGTGCACCACGAAATCAAGTACACACACTACAGATCCATAATAACGTTACTTGCAGTGCCTTCCACCGGCCTTGAAGTCATTCTCGTGGATCTGCAGGACAAAATACTTGGTCCCAGGGCTCTGCGAGTACTCCAGTACAGTGTCATGGGTAGTGCTACCTATATCCTATAAATCTACAATATGGGGAAACATGGGGTGTCCCTAAATAATACCTTTTATTTATAAATGGGAGAAAATACATAAAAATGGATAATTCAGATCAAAGACACTAATATTCCAGTAGAAAATCCATTAACAGGGGCACTTCCATAGCTAATCACCATCATGGGCGGTCACAGTATACACCGTGACACATGCCCCTGCTCCCAACAAGGGCTGCCCTCAGCCCGTGAGAAAACAAAACAAAGAATATCACATGCTCTTAACAAAACTGATCAACAAAAGGCTGTAGCTTCTTTCGGGCAAGTATCCGCGTCCTACTGGCTTCCTCCTAGGATGATGGTGGCTGGTAGCAGGACGGTGTCAAGGGCTTCTTGTGGCCCTTTTGCAGTGCCGCCGACAGAAGGCGCCTTATCCGGATCCTTCCACACCCTGCACCGCGCAGGCACATTTGCCACGTCCGCCATGGGCGTTGCAGGAATATTCTGCATCGTGGTCGAGCTTCCGAGGAGGAGGCGGTTCCACTCCGCCTTAGCCTCCTCCGAAATTGGAGGACTTTGGGTTCCGTACGCAGCAGTAAACCTCCGTGTTACTGTTGCAATCCGTTTTTTGAACGTGGCCGGGAAGCTGCGGTGTTGCGTGCGTTTAGCCACAGACGTGCATACGGTGTGGCTCGGACGGTTCGGCGCTGCCTTAAAGCTGCAACGCGGCTGAGTTCAGACGCAAAGTCCACCGTCCGGAAGTCAGTTAGCGGCCCCTGACGGTGCACCACTTTCCCATTAGGCAGACGGATTAAGTGGTTCGTATCTGCACTGACAGAACCACTGCCAGCCGTGGGCGATGTGGAAATGGCTGTCTTCGCCATTCCTGCTGGCAGAAAGAACCGACAGCCCGGATAACAGCGATCCGCATGCAATCTGGATCGTTTTTGGCAGGACTGCGATCGTGAAGCTGTATGCTTAATGGCATCTGATGCCATTATCGTCACGATCGTGAACGGCTGGGGTAGTGATGTGCGCTGAGCATATTGCGGCGTAACAGGGAAATACCCTGTTGTTACTTGCTTAGCGCAATGACTAGAAACGGAACTCGAAGAGGTTGCACGAGTCTGCTTTTCCTGAAGAAGCGCTCGACTTCTTTCTGCCACCCCTTTATAAAAATTCCGTTCTCGCTCGAACTGAGTTGCGGCCGCCTTGTAGTACTCTTTCTCTTTTCCAAGAGCTGCTAGCTCTTTTTCAAGCTGGGCGATCCGCTGCTGGGCTGGACAGCAGACGGTAATGGGTGCCAAGCTGTTGACTTTGCCAGCACTGCAAGGAACGTGGTGACTTACCTGCTGGACTATGTCGGGCACAGCAGGATCCGTACAGCTTTCCATGGCGGCAGGAATCGTTGCTCAAAGATATCCATAATGAGAAGGGTTGGAAAAACCCTTAGAATAGCCCGAGATATGGTGTGGAACGGCACGGGCTCCGTATAGAAAGGTGTTCGTTTCGGGCAGTCCGTAATCCATTGGTATGTGGTCTGTCGGGCAGGCGGAGAGCATGCTCGCACATCCAGATGTCGGATATCCACTGTATGCCGCTGGTGGCGGCGGAATCGGCCGGGAAACTGCAGGGAACGCCATCGGTATTGGGCTGGGGCAAGACCGCAGCCACCGAAAGGCTGGTACATTGTTCAAACCAGGAGCGCCATTTGTCAAGTGTAGTGCTACCTATCTATATCCTATAAATCTATAATATGGGGAAACATGGGGTGTCCCTAAATAATACCTTTTATTTATAAATGGGAGAAAATACATAAAAATGGATAATTCAGATCAAAGACACTGATATTCCAGTAGAAAATCCATTAACAGGGGCACTTCTATAGCTAATCACCATCATGGGCGGTTACAGTATACACCGTGACAACAGCGTGGTTTGGCGTCCTCGTCGGGATGCTGCTTCAGCTCCTTCAGCGTCTTCGACTGTTCATACTTGGTGCCTCTAAACGTGACGTCCGCCACCTTGTCGAACAACGCAACGTCTAGGCGCTCGGAAAAGTTGTATAGCTTGCTGGCATCTAAAGAAAAGTCGAGGCTGAAGCAGCCATCTCAAGCTGGCCGTTGCTCACCAGTCCTCTTCAATATTACCCGTAGAAAACACGAAATCTACAACCACGACCTCAAACTGACGGTTACTGACCAGTTTTAAATGAAGTTGTTAGTAATCACACTCGTAACTCACGATAAGTAAAGGCAATTTCTAGTTTTTCACGCCATATTTGCAAAATAAAATTCAGATTTATTAAGCTCAGAAGAGTGAGACGACGTTGTAAAATTTTATGCCGTTGGAAACAGAATGTTGTGAAGACGCAGCGCACGAGATGCTCCTTCGCGTGAGTTAGGTGCGCAACTGCGCATATGCGGTATCCTGTACAGGTGGCGCTGCGCACTATTCGCTTTTCTGACGTGCTGCCCAGTATGGAAAATACTTACCGTAATTATCGAATTTGCACCCCTGGGGTGCAAAAGTTCAAACGTTTCAAAAGAGGGGGGCTTATTTCGAGGAGGGGGCGTTATTTTTCAAACCGCTGTGCATCGTGTTCTATGGAAACTGAACGCAGTAGATACCGATTTTTCTAGTTTCACAACCTGACGAGCAGGATTGAGCATTCTGAAGCTTAGCACCACACTATTTTTGGTTCATCCATTAAATCATAACAATTATTATGAAGCAGTTTGCGGTATGTCTATCATTTTGTGGCGCTTAACATTTAATAACGCCCCCCTGGGCGGTAAATTCGGGGGGATGCGCTGTTTTTTCTAACGGGTCGGGGGAGGGGCCTTACTACAGAGGGGGGGCCTTATTATGAGGGGAGGTGCAAATTCGATAATTACGGTACGTTAACAATTAGTACCTAATTTATTTCATACACTTTTTCCTATGAACTTCCGTACTTGTACAGTAATTTTTTCTACAAGCACTTAGTTTTCAAAACTCTAAGCAGAAAAAATGAGAATTTATTTTTCCAGTCAATGAATTGACAACGGCACAATCGCTAATGAGGTGTGATTTCGGCACTATTGTGTCATTTGAGATGAGACGCTTCGCGAGGTTAAGCATATGCGTTTATGGGAAAAACACCAGTGCAGTCCACATTTCAACGTGTATACACTCTTCTACTTGTTTTTTCTAAGAACAATCAAAGAGAAGTTATTCACCACAAGAATTACCACAAAACTAAACTAATTTTAAAAATTTTAGCTATACCAACAAAATGTCACACTCGGTTTTATGCAAAAGTAAATCATGTCCCAAGTTATAGCTCTTGCCATATACACGTAACCAGGGCGGCGACTTCGCTGTACTTGCATGGCTTTCGATTTACTCTTGTACAGAACTTGTGAAGTGTGAGCGTCATTTACTTGCTGTTACTCGATTGTGAAAAACGATTTATGACAAGTTTTTGGCAACGACTTACAGAGTATGTATTACTTACAGATCAGCACTTTTCTACAGTTTATTAGTATCCATTTTTTAACTTTTATACAAAAATGAACTAATTTAGAAAAGTTTAAACGGATCGTTGGAGTTTCGCAAAACAGTAACTTGCTTGTATAAACTTCCGCTCATATTATAATAATAATATTATTATAATGGGAAATGTTCAAGCTGCGATCTACAAGTACTCTGTAATATCAGCGATTTCGCTGCTTGATGTTCCGTTTAAATTATAAAAAGTATAGTAAATATAACTAACAGCAGTAACTAGCACTACTAGCACCAATTTCATATATATCCTGAAGATATCCCAGACACCGCATGCCCGCCCTATGAGATCCAAACTAAACCTTTTATTTAGCGCGCTTTTAAGATAATCTCAGTTATTCTCAGTCATTAATCACATTTGATGACAGAATCATTTCATAATCTAAAACCATTTACTGAGATATGCTTACCGTTAGCACAATTCAAAAACAAAATATATTCACTTTCAAATTCTGCACAGCATCACTCAACTACAGAGTACAGATATAATATACTTTCAAAACTGAACTCCCAAACAGATTTGCGCCATGTCAGTGTCAAGTATAACTTTATGTAATTAACTATTGTTATAATAAAGGATATTAAAAGAAAAATTACGCCGAAGCAACTTGTTAGATCGGATTTGGAATGGAGATTTGCATATGATTGTTAAGAAGTCCTATATGCCTCGCGATACTGTTTCATCTGAAATGACAATGGCTAGGCACGCTACGCCTCGTATACCCTCGGCACGCCTGATTGTGCGGTTGTCAATTACTGAATATATCGTATTAAACTTTCCAGCGGTGGCCTGTACCTGTTGTTCAGTATTCCTTGGTTTATTGTTTAATAATTCAATAATTAAGTTCGTTCTAATCGAAATTATTTATATTTATTTCTGGGTAAAATAGGTACTAGGTAGTGTTTCTGGGCTGGGTGGCACCTGGCGATAAAACTGGCGGATAATTACGGTCGATTTTCTGAAATCAATTGCAAATGGCAACAAACTTTCTCTGAGTAAGACACTTTCTCTTTTTTCTTAACAAACTTTCTCTTTCTTTCTCTTTGTCTGTTTCTTTACTTTACTTTAGTGCTATTCGGCAACGAATTGCTGGGAACCGTAGCAGTAGGTCGCCGCCGTGCATTGTTAACGGCAATTTTTTAATGCATCGTTGCATGGATACAGGAAGTGGAAGACTCAGAGCGTCCGATAAGGTGAAGCGTACAATTTTTTAAAAAATATTTTTTTACAATTTTTTAACACATATTCTGTACACTTCAGCACAGGCTAATATCTTTCATCTGAAAAACTCATTTCCCAGGATACCAGCAACTTCCGGTTGGAACTTGGAACTGGCTGAGACCTTTGGTCTAATCTGGTACGATTATTAACATTCAGAAAAAAATGACACCCAATTCGAACTCGTATGGAGCTTTTGTGTGTACTTTGCAAGTACGAATACGACTTTTTGACTTGGGACAGAATTGGGTGTATCAGTTTCGTGTATTAATCCCATTTACAAGCAACCTTAAAAAGGAAGCGCTATCACTAAACAAACCCGAATTGTGTGTTTTTCGCCGCGTACAGATGGAAAAACAGAATATAAAAATGAATGGAGTTTCGCCGGAATTAGACGGATGCCACATGGAAACTGTGCGGTGCAACAGAAAAATCCTGGCTGGTGTGCAAATATTCGCCACACCGACGTTATGTTGACTAACACTTCGTCGACCGGCACAAAGTCGACCGCACGACGTTGACGGTTACTGAGGCGAGGAATAACAAAACATACTGGAGGTAAACATAAAACATTAAAACTTAAAAAACAGCAAAAGCCTAAGAATATAAGAAACCTAAGGAAGCACAAGAAAAATTAAAAAACTTAAGAAAACTAACTGTATCTGTAAGACGGACTTGCAAAACGCTTGTTCGACATCGTGTTGTTCGACTTGGTGTCGGTAAACGAATTTCCGTAGACTAAACGGCGGGTCATCGAAATCATCATCAGCTATGCGGGTATGTCTAAAAGTGTACGTTTGCATGTACCTGGTATACACCTTGCTTAAGCTTAGGCATTCATCTCAATCATCTGTAATATAATGAGTATGCTGCTTGTGGCGAACAGTTAAATACTGGCAAGGCCGCATCATGATATAATATTATTATTTATGACATATTATTACATGCCCCGCGAACCTAACCCACCCGTAACATACTATTCGCAAATTTGCGTTTAGTCGAAGAGATGCTCGCAAAAATTAGTTTTTGCCAGCAACGTCTGGCAAGTTGCTGGCAAAGACATTCGTCATTTTATTGAATTTCTGTAAGAGTAAAGCAGTTAAAATGCACCCGCCCGGACAAAATGACCTTTTGTCAAAGCCGCTGTCTTATCATTGACGCGCCTGCACAAGTTACATATCGATCCGCGAGCGGTGAGCTGGTGCCGTAAACCGTACTCTCTCTGATGCAACTTGGCGTGCCGGATCAGTTGCAAAGCACTTTGGGTAAAAGCTTCCATATCGGTATCTGCAGTGGCTCCTTTCTGGTAAAGGTTCTTTTGGGGATTAAATAAACTTCGTACGTGCGGTATCTCCTACTCTGGTCTTGCACCGCTCTGCGGTTGATTTCACGCTGTTTGCCTACGACATTTAGTCAAGAACGCGGTAATGGCACTGCAGAGAAGCCAGAGCTGCGAATGGCAATCACATCTGATTTTAGTTACGGGTATTTCTGCTCCTCGTGTCCAATAAATCACAGTTGTGCTTAGCTTATTGATTTCGGCGCTTTCGATGTGCAACAGCGGCATCGCAATAATTCCTCACAGTTTTTGATAATCCACAGTTTAGCACATTCAGTCCTTTCGTGCGGGAAATCCCGACAACAGACCCTTAACTGTCATGGCAAACCCGAGTTTCGCTTGGGTCATCACCCGATAAACCTGGTTTGTTAGTTTTTGACTCAAAGCAACGATATCAAAGGGCTACCTGACGCCAAAGATTTTTCTGAGCACAGAATCACTGACTGCGCCCTTCAACGCTGCTATAAATACTCTGGACATACAAAACGGTTTAATCAAGCTTATGGCTGGCTACTCGCCATCGGCTGTTAATTTGTTCCCATCGCTATTTTCAATGCACATGTGTTGCGTCAGGGTA